ATTCCCCAAGGGTGTTACCTGTGTATGTATACGATGCACATACAGATTGTGGGAAAAACGTCAGGTTGTGTTGAACTCTTCTCTGTATGCTGAAGTGTTGGAGTTCTCTCATTTTTTAATGAATTTTTATCATGTTATCCAAAAAATTCATGTTCTTATCATCATTTTTCCTTGGAATATTTAAGTACTTGACAAATTGTTCTACTTTCTATCCTCAGTGGTGCATTTCTTTTGCTTTATGGCGTTGCATTAGCTATTGAAGGATGGGGTGTAGTTGCAAGTTTGAAAATCTACCCCCCTTTCGCTGGAGCTGCTGTTTCAGCAATTACCCTTGTCGTAGCTTTTGGATTCGCTGTCTCTCGCCCTTGTTTGACTCTCGAGGTATTTCCACTCATGGTATTTGCTTTATTAGCAATTTCTCTTGATTTCTTGATCATAATATTCTATTGTGTCAGTAGGTTCAGTCTTAGGTATGGACTTAAAAAGCCGGTCCGGTCCAGTCTGGTGCCAAGGTTTTCAGTACGGTCAAGTCTGGTCAAGGTTTTCAGTCCGGTCGTCGGTCTGGTCCCGGTCTGGTCTTGCACCAATGCACACCCCTAAATAAAATTGTGTCAGATTTTTAAATAGGGATATCTTTTAAATTTACTGCCTGTTCCTAACCTAAAACCATGTTTCATATTCAGACCAGAAACGCGTTATCTGGAACTTACTCTGCTCCCCAGAGGTCTGCCAGCTCAGCTGCTCTTTTGGTTGGGGATCCTGCTGTAATTTGAGATAAAGGAGGCAATTTTGTACTTCCTAGGGCTGATGTCATGAAATTAAGAGATCGTTTGAGAAATGAAGAATTAGCTGCTGGATCTCTTATGTCTAGGTTGAGAAATAAGACCCTGCGGCACGGAGCTATAACTGATATAGGCCACAAAAGAGAAATGTGTGCTCATGCCAGAATACTAGCTCTGGAAGAAGCAATTGAGACTGCATGGGTTTACATGTGGATAAGTTTGGTGGTTATTTACTTCTTTTACTTTGTTTGACGGCTAAACCTGAACGTGTACAGGTATAAATGCTTAAACATTCTATCACACAGCACATGAAGTCTTTTTCATGCTAACCTCCTTGTTTTACAGGATGAGGTTCGTTTAAGACTTTTCCTCGACAGCATAGTATTGCCTGATCTCAGTGCTAAGGATATCAAATAGTGGCTACCAGAGGAACATAGGCGATTTGAACTTATACAAGAGAGGTATATAGGAACATCTCAAGCTATCAATGTTGCTTCTGTTACCCTTCTCGGTCTCATAGTGAAATAAGTTGTCAAGTTTTTAAATCTATGTGTAGTTATATAAGAGAGAAAGAGATGGAAGAAGAAATATTGATGCAGAGACGCGAAGAGGAAGGAAGGGGTAAAGAGAGGAGGAGAGCTCTTCTGGGGAAAGAAGAACGCAAATGGAAAGAGATAAAAGCTTCTCTTATGTCATCTATTCCCAATGCTGGCAACAGAGAAGCAGCTGCAGTAGCAGCTGCTGTTCGTGCAGTTGGAGGTGATTCAGTTTTTGATGATTCTTTTGCTCGTGAGAGAGTTTCAAGCATTGCACGCCGCATACGTGCAGGCCAGTTATCTCGGCGAGCACTCCAGGTTATCATTTTTTCATTAGTTCTAGTTTATGGGGGTCTTTAATATGAATATGTACTCTCTGTATTACCTTCTCCTATCAGTACTCTTTCATTGTAAGTTCATCATGTTGCCAGTGAACCAACTAGTTGACAATTAGTTGATAAGTGGACATATCAATTACTCCCTCCGTCCCCGAGTTTATGTCCACTTCCAATTTGGCACAAAAACCAATATAGAATATCAAAAGACACAAATACCCTTACTCGTCTCGCTCACCAAGTCACAGACCCAATTGAACCCCCCCACCCACCATCCAGTTCCTTCTTGCGTAAATCCAGCCTCCTTCCTCCCACTCAAATTTCATCCACTCATCTCCAACAACCTCCATCATCCAGCACTAGCTCTCTACCCACTATTCACCGGCAAACCCACGAAGAAGACGTCCAAGATCTACATCTTGAGAAGAGATCTAATATTCGAAGATATTCGGCTGTGAAAATATCTAATCGTCATCCATCTCTAGCGGGCATCTGAGAGGATGCGCAGCTCCGGCTCTCCATCGAAGAAGACATCCATCCATCCATCTACAACAATTGACTTGGAAGATGTGAGAGAGATGAAGGGGATCGAAGATGATAGAGGAATATGAAGCAAATTGGAGATGATAGAGGAGGATGAAGAGGAGTCAGAGATAAAGCTTTGAGGAATCGGAGAAGAAGATAAAGCCTAAAGGGGAAAATGAAGGAGATGATAGATGAGAGAGGAAGAGGAAGGGGAATTAGAGAGGAAGAAGAAGAGAATCAGGGACGATGAAGGGCTGAAGGAGAGAGTATAATTAAATGGATCTTCC